ACTTTCATCTCGGATGCAATCCAAGTAACCAAGGGATAACAGAAGACAAACATTATTCCGGAATTTTATATTTCACTTTGCGGAAAGAAGAAATAACTTATGTGAACATTCTACGGCAACTTTGTCTGTCATTAAGAAACATCGAACTCCAAATTGCTTTAAAATGACATTCAATGTCAGTTATGTGTTCTTTTATTAATTGCATGCTTGCCATTCTATACTTTTCCCATATTATGTATTTTGTTATATAAAATTTATTTACAAATGTTAATCTTGTGTTTGTTGTCTGACGGTACCTGTTCGTGTGTTCCTATCCGAGGGAACCTACCTTTTTTCTTTGAACCTGGGCTTCATACCTTTATATGTTGTGAATTCATAACAATGCACACACACACACGTATATATATATATATATATATATATATATATATATATATATATACACACATATAAATTGCTACTAATGAATTCTTGGTTCCTGGCTATCTTCCCCTCTGCCGAAAAGATTCCAGCATTCATATTCACGGTTTTGGTGTCTACATCCGGGATAATCTTCCAATGCTCAGGGAATTGTCGCTCGAGGCCCTTGACGACTTTTCCATGTGCTTCCGTCTTTCGTTACTAAACTCTGTTAGCTATTTCTTTGTCCTGTATCAATCCCCTCTTCCCAGGAATGCATTATATTCGACATAATAGCTGACACTATAGAAAATGCATTTTCTCTCCATCCATCTGCGAACATCTTCGGTGACTTTAATGACATCTGGCTGACGTTAAATGTTTCCACTGCCCAAACCTTTACTCAAATCGTCGACTTCCCTACTCATTTCCCAAGTAAAACCGAGCAATACGCATCTCTACTTGATTTATTTCTCACCTCCTCTCCTCGCTCTTGCCGAGCTTCGCAACTCTGCCCTCTTGGTAACCTCTGTCAATAAGACCTCTTTCCGTTAGCAACATGCTGACTGGAACTCACTCCATGATTTTCTTCTTGACGCCCCTTGGACTGACATCTTTAACCTTTCAATTGAAAATTGCGCCACTGTGGTTTCTTCCTGGGTCAAAGCCTGGCGCATTTATCCTATCTCGGACTGAAACCGCTATCTTCTCCATGGTTCACACCAGATTGCTCGGCCGTTATAGCACACAGGAACCACTATTTTCGGCCATACCAGCGTGACAGCTTTCATCACAACAGGCGGTTATTCTTTATTGGTCGTAATAAATCTAAGCGAGTCCTCGAAGGAGAAAAGTCCCTGTTTGCTGAGAGAATGAGTCAACGCATAACCTCCTACAACTACAGCTCTCGTGATTACTGGCAGCTGTGTAATAGGGTATTAAATAAGTGTAAGCTCCTTATTACTCTCGTCTTCAATCGATTTGAGGTGTTATCCTCTGCTGATAAAGCTGAATGGTTTGCCCGTAAATTCTTCTCAAACTCTACCTTTGATTTATCTGTAGTATCCCTGCCTAACTTCCCACTTAGAATTGAATCTCTGTTGAGTGATATTCATATAATCTCTTCCATGGTTTCTACTATCATCTCTAACCTTGATCCCCACAAAGCATGTGGAGCTGATGACATCCGTGTAATAGTCATTAAGAAGTGTGCTCCCGAACTACCTCCTGTTTTCTCTAAACTGTATAATAAATGCCTCACTGTCTCATGCATTCCCGTCTGTTGGAAGTCATCGTCTGCTGTTCCAATTCTGATGAATCGTCCCACCCTTCCAACTATCGGCCTATTGGCCTTCTACCTCTTTTGGGGAAACTCCTAGAGGCCCTAATCAATGCTGAATTGGTTCATCACCTCTTATTGCTAGGCCTTTTCTCAGACAAGCAATACGGTTTTCGTTTCTTCAGGTCAACTGCTGATGTACTAACGATAATTGCGGAAAGAGTCTGTCATGCTCTAGCTAAAAACGGTGAAGCTTTGAACATCTCGAAAGCCTTTGTCAGGGTTTGGCATCCAAGTCTTCTCCACAAGGGGAAATGTTTTAACTAATCCACTCATTCCTATCAAATCGCGAAATGAAAGTTATCTTGAATAGCCACTTGTACTGACGCGGGTGCCCTTTCGTACTAACGCAGGTGTCCCCCAAAGCTTCATCTTGGGGGAAAATTTATGACAAAGTGGAAAAAGTTTTCTTGTAACGCGTTTCATTCTTTAAAACTTCATAAGACTAAATTTGTTCTGTTGGTACAACTACACATACACACGAACAAGGCGCGCTGGGATTTATTTTTAATCTAGGAGATTTAGGTATTTTCAACTGGGACGTTTGTATAAATGGATTTTGTATCTAGACTGGCCATGAGTTTGTCAGTCATGTTCATTTCCCTTAGTTTTTCAACTTGGCTGCCTGAGTTATATGAGATGAAGTGATTGTTCCAAGGAAAGGTGTTAGAACTTTTGTTATGGCTTTCGACAGTTTGGAGGCGAGTGTGTTCTATATTCCTTAGATGATGAGGCGCATCGGGATACGTGTTTTGTGGGGTGACCGTAAAATAATAATGTTCTAGGGTGATTTTCTATGAGTGATGAGTCTTATTGTGGCTTGTTTTCATTTTTAATTAGTTTCCTAATTTTCTTGTTAAATTTTTATGTTTCGGTAATTATTTTCTGTTCGTTTGTCTTATATGTCTCTATTGTTTATTGTTCGTTTGTCTTCTATGTCTCTATTGTTGAGTAGTGAATTAATTTTTCTTACGTATGTATTCTTGTTCATGATCACAAGCCCACCTCCCTTGTCAGAGGGAGTGATGTGGATTTCCTTATTTTTTGCAAGGTTTCTTAGTGCATTTAGGTGTCTCTGTAGCAATGTATTTTCGTTGTTGGTTTCTATAGTAGCAATGATTATGACTTGAATTAAATCTTTGGTAAATTCAGAGTCATTTTGTTTATGATTTTTTTTTATTATAGTGTGTATTATGTTTCCTTTACGAATTCAAGTGGCAAATTTTAAACCGAAGCTTCCCATTCTGTACTGGACAGCTTTATGCCCGATAGATTTTCTATTAGATCTAGCCTTTTAGCATATTTCCACTTACATAGAGTGTTGAGTTTTTGTCTCAGTTTGTTGTTTTGATTGCTACGTATTTGTTTTATCGTTTGTTGTAGTCGGGCCATTTCCGGCTTGTTCTTTTTGTGGAGTTGAAGTTCAGTATTTCTGGCCTTTTTTAGTAGTTTAAAGCATTTGTTTTTTTCTTTTTTGTTTTTGTTTTTTTTATTGGTCAATCGATTTTACTCGATCGCCTGTAATAATTGTCACCAAAAATACATAGGAGATACCTCAAGGGATCGAAATAAAAGATTATATTATAAAGAGACATTTTACGAAACAATACAACAAATGTATTGGTTACCCACCGTAACGAAACTGACCACAATTTTTATATAAAAATGCTACTCTGATCAAAGGAGAAAACAATTCACTACGACAAAAATGTCTAGAGTGACTTGACCGCAAGGTCATCTACAGTAAATTTTCACCTTACAACATTTCACCATTCCTATTATCACAGTGCGGGATATCTACTAACAAACGTGATGGACAGAAAAGAAAAAAAAAAAAAAAGAATCTAAATAAAATCGGCTAGATTAAAAAAAATTTTTCGTGCGCATGTGTAGTCGCACCAACATAAGAAATTTAGATCGATGAAGTTCTAAAGGATGAAACGCGTTACAAGAAAACTTTTCCACTTTAATTTATCATACATTTTTTACCCTAATATTGTTCTGGATATATGAAAATGTATATATTATTTCATATATGTATACGTGTGTGTATGCGTGTGTATATGTGTGCATACAAAAACAAATATATGACCAATTTTGACATAAAATCTTTATATACAAATGTTCCCGTAAATCCCTAAATTTACTAAGAACTCACTTAACAAAAACAAAAATGAAATTACTTCTTCCTACTGATAAGATCATATAAATGTGACATTAATCACTAATCAATGTATTTTCACGTTCGATAACAATTTTATAGACAAAAATTTGATTTACCAACATTTCAAAAATGTTTTACCACAAAATTCTTTGATTCTCTATTATCCACAAAACATAGTTTTTACCTGATCTTGTCAACAAAATATTATTAAAAACAAACATTTTATGTTTATTTATTTGATGAATAATACTTCTCAGAGGAGTCAATTCTGACGGAAATTGTCCGAAGTTCATTTCGGAAGAAAAGTACAGGAGATATGTCCCAAGCTTTCCGACTTAAGTCATCATCAAAGTACGTAAAACCAGATCCACAGGCGCTATCAGACAACACATCAATAAATAGCATAAAGATCGTAGTAATTAGACAGATACAAACTATTCCAAAATAGTAGCAAATTAAATTCATCAGAGGTTTGGATATTCAGTCTGAAGATAAATTGATGGTGTCGTTTGATATCGTCAGTTCATATACCAATGTCCCATTACTTGAGACCATTATTTCATAAAGTCCATAAACCTTTTGTCTATATGAGATATGTGGACGATACTTTTTCCATTTTTGATTCTTTCATAGATGCCACTAATTTTCTAGCTCAACTAAATTCTCTCCATCCTTCCCTTAAGTTTACAATGTGGGCTTCCGAAAAACATCAGTGACGAAAGCCCCATCCTTTCGTTCAACTAGAACATCCAAAAAAAAGGGAGAGCTCTATCCTTTTCAATCTCCAATGTAAACTTAAGGGAAGGATGGAGAGAATTTAGTTGAGCTAGAATAAGATTGGTTCATAATAGCCCACGAAAATATTGGCTAAAACAGAACCTAAAGGGCTGCCCATCGCAACCCTATCCGTCTGGACATACATTGTGTCATTAAAGCTGAACTCCACACCTTCCGTTGCCAAACGCATGCATTCCAAAAACAGTTCTTCAGGGATGCTAGTGGGACCCAAATTGCCCCTATATAGAGCATCGGCACAAATGTCAATGGTCTCAAGTAATGGGACATTGGTATATGAACTGACGATATCAAACGACACCATCAATTTATCTTCAGACTGAATATCCAAACCTCTAATGAATTTAGAAAAAAGAAAGGAATCTGAAATATTATAGTCCGAAAAAATCTTCGAGACGGGTTGGAGTAATTCAGCCAACCATTTAGCCAACTCATGTTGTACTGATCCCACCATAGACAAAATAGGTCTAAGTGGGACTCCCTCTTTAGGAAGTCCATACATGCGTGGACGTTGCGAGCATGTTGGTATCACCCTGTTGTAAACTTCCTTGGAGATAAGATTAGCCTTATATATAGAAAGTAACCATCTTTGTGCCCTAGCTTCAACTTTACTGGTGTTGTTGTATGTATCTGCAGTGCCAATTATCCTAAATTTTGTAGAATCATTCAAAATGTCATTCATTTTATCCAGATAATCTTGTTTATTTAGGATTACAACACCAGAACCTTTATCAGGTTTGGTTAGGTACACATCATTCCTTGACTTTAATAATTTTATTGTGCGAAAATGAATACTTTGCCAAGCAAGGAAATCTCGCTCAACCGAGAGCGAAGAGTATTCATTGGCTATTTCAAGCAGTTAATTACTATTTAATTAAGAAACAAAAAATGTAGTTTGCTGAATATTTTGATGCTTATTTAACTCAGAGTGAATTTACTTTTAATTTTTTAAGCAAAATAAATGAAATAAAAAAGATGAAAGAAACTCTGACATTCACAGCTGTAATTTTCAGCCAGAAGGAAATGCTTTCAGAAATTAACTGTTAATGACTTTCACTGCATGTTACTCACAAGGTGAATTTGTTGCAAGAAATAATTTGAGAATATCAAGCTGTTTTCTATACATATATAACCATCCAAGTTTAAATGAATATATTGATCTATTTTCAATAAACCTGTTTACAGAATATCTATACTTACTATAAATGACCTGCAAAACTAGCATGTTAATTACAGAATCTTCCTGAAAGTTCAGCATGTAGAAATTTATTTGGTTTGGTACAAGGCCACTAACAACTGAACTTACTCAACTAACCCTGATCTTCATGACGTGTAATTATCATTTTGTGACTTTGAAAGAGGCTAGAATAGTAGAGTATATAATGTGAAATGAAATCATTTTATGTACCTTTAGTGTTACTCTGAAATAAACATTGAAATTCTGCATACAAATAAAAAATAGCAAAACAGGATAAACACACATACAGTAAAGATGGTGAGATCTTGTTTGTGGAAATGCTAAGAACTTTCTGGAGATGACTTTAAACATTTCTATACACAAATTTTTGTGTACATGTGGAAACAGGCATATTTGGCTTCTTTTGATTAAATACTCAGTATCTAATTGAAGCAGACTCAACACTAAAAGCTGATTCTAGAAATAACAAAGGAACAAATTAGTAAATCAAGCATCAAAACAGCATGGAAAAGTTCAGTTTTCATTCCATGATAATCAAATGATTTAAAAAATAATTTTAAACATTAAAATTACTTTTTGTAATTTTTAGTACAAAGGTTTGTCTCAAATTAGATTAAATAAATAAATTTGATCCCTAAACCTAAAAGTATTCGCTAACTGCAGTCATTCTTATTACAACAGTTGTTTGGAGTATTATTTTTTTTTCATTGCTGAGTTTTAGCCAACTGATTCTTAAGCCTTTTTCAGATCAAATCTTTATAAAACCAAAGGCTGTTTTTTTATAACTTCATGTTCCTGTATCCTAATTCAATACTTTTTTTTAAAGACTAATTGTTCACCCAATACAGAGCTCAAGAACAACTCAAGGTAGAGTATTGATGCTTGTAAGGAGGTAAGAAGTGCTACTTATGAAGATATGCAGGAAAGGTTACAGTTAACCCTAGATTTGAAGATGTTAAGACTGATTGTAGTGACTGGTAAAAAAATCTGCTTGGGAGTCTGTTCCATAAAGTAGCAGTTCATGGGAAGAAGCTGGTCAAATGGAACTTCCTTTTTATTAACTGAGAACAAAAAATTGGAAATAATTCATCCCAGCAGTGTACATGGTACGGAAGATCAGAACTGTTGGTACTATGGACGTAAATTATCAGAACATCTGACATGAAAATAGTGATAGAGCAGCAAGAGGCTTGTAATGCTTTGTCTGTGGTATAAAGGTTGTAGGGTGGAAAATTATTCATCACCCACAAGGATATAAAAATACAATTGAACACTTTAAGATTAGAAAATGAGGACTGGCCAGCTCCAGCAGTATTCCATTTTTGGTCTGATCTTGCTCTTGTAAGGATCAGCATAGCAAGTAGTGCCAGGTACAAGGAATTAATCATTTTTCTAGCATCTTTAATAGTGATATATATATATATATATATATATATATATATACTCCACTTGATGTCTGTGGGTGAACAAGTCCCAAAGGGGTTTTCAAAAAAAAAACATTCATGATAGGGTCTGCTTGGCAATGATAGCTAGTTTGGCTTTAGAAGTATTGAATGTGACCAGCCAGTTTCCCTTATTGAACTATTAGAGGAGAGATCAGCTACCAGTTTTGGCTCATCTAGATTTTTGGAGGTGCACCCATATAACATTGTCTCATTTGCATTGGTATTTATAAGAGATATGAGCATATTCTACATAGTCCAGATCCCATTCATAAAATGACAGTACAACAGCACCAATATCATATACCCGCAGGGGAGATAGACTCCTCAGGAGTTACTCTAAGATTTGAATCTCTATCAGGTAGACAATGCAAGCCCAGAAAGCATTTATCTCTAGTACTCTTAATGAAGAGAGAAATAATTCAGGAATTAAAAAATACAGGCATGATGTGTACATGTTTCATCAATGCAACAGAAACTCTGAAGATAGAATCATCATAATTATGCTAAGAAGCCAAGTACTGAGACAAGCTCACTCACATGTGAGGGCTAAAAGACCCACTGGTAGAATGGGACAAGGGGATTCAAAGACTGCCTTTGATGCAATTTTGCTTAAAAACAAAGATATGAATCCTTATTTCAATATCTTTTTAAATAAATGTTACCTCTAAATCAAAAAATCTATTTTTGCACATGTAACCATATATTTAATATTCAAATTTTATAACAACACTGAAAAACAAAATATGCACAGAAAAGCACCGATTACACATGCTCACTATTCTGTCATTCAGTATTAATTATTAAACCAATACACTGCCCAGTTTTTTTAAATGAATCTGTATGTCTTTCTGGTTGTAAGCATAAGAATGAATGCAAAGAATGACTTGAATTTCACCTCACAATGCTAACATTTGGAATTTTCTCAAATTCAAAGGAGAATGCCCTTTTTCTTCAAAGACTAAACACCTGTATAAAATGGCAAACAATTCAATGTCATCTCTATCGACATTATGAAAAACTGGAGGTACGGCTTATTAATGGAACAGAAAAGATCCTCCTCTTCTGTGCCATTAACAAATGGTGCCTCTGGTTTTTCATAATTTTTAACCAGTTGAGGCACAAATGTATATTCAATAGGCATAGTCTATTACAATAAACAGGGGGTGATATCAACTTTATTTACACTAGTATTAAGTAATAATCTTGAATTTCAACATCATTAGATGAAGCCTTGTCAATTCTTATTCATTTTTTACTAGTATTTCTTTCATCTTCATTTCAATTGCTGTATTTTCACTAGTAGTATTAGTTGTAATATTATCTGGAATTTTATTATTATTATTATTATTATTATTATTAGATGAAGCCTTGTAAATTCTGATTCATTTTTTACTAGTTTTTTTACTTTTATCTTAATTTCAGTTAATTTTCATTTCAATTACCAGACTATAAGAAAATATGGTGCTTAGAAATTAAGCCATGTATATGATATTCTACCAGCCATAAAGCTCTCATTGCACATAAAGCATCCATTTTGCTAAAGGTAAGATATAAGTTTCAGTTTTGTCTGGAACTTATTTCCAATCTTTGCTAGTGACTCATGGCCATTGATTGATGGTCTTGATTAATTCAGATAAGTAAATTTAAAATGTAAGAAAATATAGACAATAATGGGTGGCATTTATTTCTTACTATCAAACAGCAGGACTTGCAGGACATCATTTAACATTCCAATTACAAAAATTATGTTTTTATATAATTAGTAATGCAATGAAATATTTTCCTTCCATTTGGACAATGCAGTCAAACCCCATTTTACAAACTTCCAAATGAGAGAAATAGAAAATGCAATATCCAATTTTTTTTGCTAATTTCTTCAGATTATAAAATTCTACTGCAAATGTGAACTAATAATAGTTTTCAGATATTTCAGAATATTTGTTTTGGAGATAATTTTATCTTAGCCAGATACACAGCCAAATTGGAGGAATGAGGGAGGAGATTACATTACAATCTTTCAAATGGAGAAGGGCGACTTGCCTTGCAAAAAATCAGCATTTAAAATCATGGTTTTTACATGTCAGAATGAAATATGTAACTATATCAACCATCAAGCAGATCTCATTTGCTTCATATCTAGAAACACAATCAGTGTATTTTACTGTATATAAATGTGTGAAAGATCCTCTAAGACTATTGGAATTATGACATTGTTTTCTCTGCTTCATTATCAAACATAGACTATGTGGTCTGTGTCTCTTAATTTCAAACAAAAATGTTGTGTTCAGATTAATCTAACTTTTAAAATGTGATGCTCTAATGGGAAAATCTCTCAAAGGAACATAAAATAAATGATTTATTGCTGCATATCAACAGAAAAAAACAAGCAATTTTAAAACTGAAATAATTAACACCCTTACTTCAGGATTGTATTCATTTATCATATTTCAATCTATTATCATTTATTGGAATGTTCAGTAGCATAATGGTCATCAACACAGAAAGTGAAATCAGCAAACTGAGTTCATGTTCTGGTCAAGTCAGTTATATTCACTTCCCACTAATACACTTGGAGATATGTATAAATCCACCTTTTCTCTCAGTTACAGTTTAAGAGGACAGAGTGGATTCTCTAGCACCTAATATAAAAGTAGCAAATATTCTGAAACCACTTGAAAGTACTAACATTGAATTAAACAGAATTACTATTATTAAATAATGTAAGTTATTTGGCTTTAGTCTATTTTCAGATAAATGACCGATTTTATATTAGCACTTTTTAGGTGCAATAGATTCATTTTCCTAAATTATTTTTAAAAAGAATGTAAACAAAAATTTACAAAATAGAGCAAGTAAACACAAATTTTTAGGTAACTGATTTCATTATTAAAAACATACATGCAAAATATTTTCTTAGATAAAAACAAAATCATATATAAGTATCAAGAGCTCCAACTGCAGTATAACACCAATATGTGCCATCTGGAAACATTACATATGTATATAAATTATCTCCATTAGTTTGAAAGCCATGTTCCCGAGTTTCCCATGTAACGGGGGTATCGTTAAAACCATGGACAGTGAGTGCAGCCAAGGGAATGTTTTCATCAGATACAATGTCTTTCAGTTCATAGAGAAGCTTTTGTATAGTTTGGGGCAGAATAAAACCCTGGGCTTGATACATTACACAATGCTTCAAGACTTGGTCAGATATTTTATACAAAGGGAGAAAACCATCTGGATCATCAGAGCTAAAAGAGAAAAAAAATAGGTTATAAAGCATGCTTTGTAAAATTTGGGTAAGATAAAGTTTTCATTGATTAATTTAAATATTCTTTTTATTTACTTCATTCAACTTGTAAGTGTCCTTATAACAATTCCTTTTAAAGACAAAATCTATGCATTAAAATTGATGAACAAAAATATGCTTTTTTTTTTTATTTGGGGTTAATCTTCAGGGTTTAAATGATATATAACCACAGAAAATTAAAACTGCACCAACTACGTGGATATTATTATTGGCCCTTTATTGCCAAGAAAAATCCTTTTATCAAAAGTTTGAAGAAACATATTCCAAAGAATCAATTAAGGAGATGATTTTGTTGGGTCAAAAGCTTAAAATGTTTTGGATGTTGTTAGGTAAATGGGACTTGGAAAAATTGTACCCAATTTGTTCAGATTTATTTTAGTTAAGGATTATCAAATTTCTTCATCATGCTGCTTGCTCACAACCTTTTCTAATTAACAGAATGAGAAGAAATTAAAAACAGACATTAAGAAAATAAAAAGGAGATCAAAATGCATTTTAGATGGTACATAGATTTATTCAGGAACTCATTTGCAAAGATTATTCAAGAAAATAGACAAAACAACAATGAAATAAAAACCAAATAAAAAAATGTTTAGCAATTTTCAATAAAGAAATTAATTTTTCTTTACTTTCTGAAATTATACTTATTTAATGAATTAAATCAATTTTGGATAAAAAGAAAAAACTAATGCAATTGAATAGTAATGTTAATAAATTCACACTGAAGATGTTTATTTGGAACAATATTTCATACAACTTGTATATTTATAACAATTAGATGGTCAGATGGAAAATATAAACTCAAAAATTTTGATCTCTGAAAATGAATATAACGTATTAGCAGTAATAGACAAGATGGAAATGGGAAACTGATGCAATTGAAACAACACAAAATAGTATAAGAATGAAGAATACTTAAAATACCATGAGCATTTTTAATATAAATCTAATTTCACATTTTTATGAACATATTCAGTTACTAACATTTCTTAAAAACAAATTCTACTCACATTTTAGTAATCATCAATTGTAAAAGAATGACATTTAGTCATTCTTTTACAATTTTCTTAGTCAAATTTTAATTTTTGTGTTTAATAAATTTCTTCTTCAGCAAGATAGTCAACTTTTTAAACATGACTGTGGAAGACAAAATAGCCTGTTAATTTCAATCACTGTCAATGATATTGCCACTTACATATTTGTCAGTTTGAGTTTGCTACAACCTCTTGGCTAGCTTCATTGCAAATAATTAGTTGTCAATCAAGTGAAATTTTGCTGACAAAAAATTCATCAGCAAAAAGACAACTTTTTTAATACAATTCTAAACAACTTCTACTTTTTTACTTTTATTTTTATATTCAGTATTTTATCTATAAATTTTTACTTTATTATAACCGAACATATTCAATTTTAAGTTTATAAATAAAAAAAATTTTACAAAACTTATTGGTAAATTGTTTAGTTTTGCAATAAAATGAAACAAATATATGAAGATTTTACTTATTGTAAAATCTTCATGTAAATCATAGAAAATTACCTTCATGAAGATTGCAGGAAATTATTGTAAAAAAATCATTCTGAGATGATTGTCAATCTTTTTGCTATAGAAATTTATTATACACAATGAGTCATAAATACCTCCCACATAATGTTAAGACATTACTGGCAATGGTGTAGTCATCTAGCTAATGTCTTACCATTATGTAGGAGGTATTTCTGTCATACTGTATAAGTTGAACCTGGAAGACTAGTGTGGTTATGAGTTTGAAGTGTAACCCTTGCTAAACAAATATGCAGACCTGGTTGTATACAGGTATATACACAGATATATAAAATAATTCTATTTGTCGTTTAAATAAAAATGATGAAAAAACAAAAAAAATTATTATAGCACTTACTTTATGCAGTCACATGATATTGAACCAAGCCAATCAAATAACTCTTCATAGTCACAGGACTCAATTGAATCATTTGGTTCCTTGCTATTTATAACAGGAAATGGCAGGTCTGTATATGTGTTTGTCTTGCATTTCAAACCAACAGGAACACTGAGAAGGTCATTCATTTCAAAATAAGCAGAAATGGATGAAGAAATATCACAATCTAAATAAAAAAAAATTTAGAAAATATAAAAATGTTCATCAAAACTGGATGTAAAAAAAAAAAAATGTCCATCAAAACTGGAGGTAAAAAACAAGTAAAAGCAGGCAAAATATGAACTTAATTTAATTAATCATCGTAGTTCAAAGGGGTTTGAAAAAGTTTTATTTTGTGTTGTATTTTACCTATTATTTATTACTATTGTATTGTATTCGTAAATTTTAGTATTTTAGTTGCATTTTATCATAAGCTGAATTTTCTAATTTTAAATGTTATATGCTAATATTTTAAATATTGTTATATTTTCTTTGCTATATTTTATTAACTGTAAATACAAGTTATTCATTTCCACAAATAAATTACATAATTCTTTAAAATTCAAAACATTTGATAAACTAATCAAAAATTTTCAGACAATTTCTAGTTTGTTCTTTTCACAATTTGAAAAATTGTTAAAAAAATACTGCATTTTTCTTCCCCTTGCAACACCATGACTTAAAATTAAATCCTTGTAAACCAAGACTTTACATTTGATTGAGGGAAAAAATTAGCATACACTGCAGTAGAATTAATTCTTCAAAGTCTGATATTTTTGGCTGTAGAATCTATAGCTATCTTCAGAACTTCAATTTTTAGCTGTCTTAATTTTATAATCAAATAGTGATGCAAACACCTTATTTTTTATAATTTGTAGTAATAATTTTTAATCTCATCTCAATTACAGAAAACCAAAACTAACAGATGCATTTGACAAAATCTATAAAAAACTTACTGTGTGGTATCCAGGAGACAAGCATGTTGTAACAGAGATTCAGTCTATCAGTGAAAGACCATTTAACACGTTCATAATAATTCTTTCCAGGCACAAAAGATGGATTCAACATATTGATTACAACAACTGAAACAAAAACAATTTATGATATATCAATCATGATAATACAACCAAGAATTATTAAAAATGTTTTAAATTTTCCTTACCATATCTATCGTTTCGAATACTATGAAACTGAGATTTTTTGCCTTCCAAACCTAAACGTTCATAAGTATCTTTTGTTAAGTTCATGATCAGTTTACCTGGAAAAGGAAAAAAGAAAAATAACCTCAAATCATTTTATATGAACACATTTTAAAATGTATTTTAATTCAAGATTTTAAATATTTTACCATTTAACTAAGTTTAAATATTTTCATTAAGCATAACTGTGGCTGTAAATATATTTCAAATATGTAATATCCTTGAAACAAAGGATGAATGCTGAAAGAAAAAGTTTGGCTTCTTGAACACTACTGGGCATTTCTTCAGTTATGTGCCATGCATGAGACATGCATAGGTGATCATGTATCTTTTGATACATGACTGACGAGGCAGATTTTTTCCCATAGTAGGTTGCCATTTCTTTGAAAATGACACTTGTTAATTGGTTCTGTCTAATGACATAGCAACAAATGAATTTCTGTAACTGACGATTTGGGATAGAGTTCAGTGAAACATGTTTTTCATTTAAAAACATAAATAAAATAATTCAATTTTGGCCTCTTGTGAAACTGTGTTCAGTTGATCTCAATATTATGTGCAACAATGATGGGTTCAACCAGTTGCATTCAGAAAACCTTAGTAGTTTAACTACTCATTATTGTCATTGGTTTATATCATATCCAAGAATTTAATTTCTTTTTTGCTGATCACTTCCCTTATGATGATGGTGTTGATGACTACATTCACCACCAACATGCAAGTCCAGGACTAGAAGCCTCCAGTTTCACCAAAACTTGTTCCTGCCATCCATTCCCAGTTACCGTTTGGCTTTGCAAGAGTTGGTTGAAGGAGAAAGAAAATCAGAGTATAAGAAATAGTGCAAATTTGTTTAAGGTGGACCTCAACCTGTCAGGAAGTGACCAACACACTTGATTTCGTGACCTTCCTCTGTGATACATATGGAATGAGAAATGCAGAATCCATATATGAAATTGCTACAGACTGTGACTGATTCTGTTATAATTTCAAGTCGCACTTTCTGTAGCATATCTGTCATGAGTAGCCCCTCTTCACCTGCTGATTCAACCATTCAGATCTGTTGTTATCATCATCCACTTGTCCCACCATTGGGGATCTCATTAATAGTATAATCATCTGGGTAGACAGAACTATTTGGAAGTTGTCGATGGTTGTGCTAGCATGAAATAACCAGTCATCATGACTGAGGGTTTGATCGTACTGGCTTTTTTTAGACTGTTGATCATATTAAATAATGTGCACTCTCCCAGAAACTGTAACTATGGTCCACTAAGCAGTATAAACGATGTGGGGGCTCCATGCATACTGAACCCACATGTGCCTGAGCAGGTGTCTGCAATATGGATTGGTTAGCTGTTCTAGTAGATAGTTAAAATAATGGCTGGATCAGAGTATGCCTAACAGAAATAACAAGTAATAAAAGACAAATAAAATAGAAATAGTGTATTTGGATAAAGAAAAACCATTGCAATGATATAAAAACCAATAATGCTCACCAGATGGTAAGATGACTATACAATCTTCAGTGTCAATCTTTGTACCATGAGACATCATGTAAAGATGACCTAAAAGAATAAAAATAAGACAAAAATAACAATGAAAATAAATATTTTTCATTCATAATTTATTCTTATCTATACATGAATATCAAAATCATAAAAAGTTACTGAAAAAAATTTTTTTTAGCAAGATTTAAAAAAAAATAATTTCAGTTATTACTACTTATTTAATTTTATGAAATTGAGAAATTAAATTTTGTCGAGCTTAATGTTAAAACAGAACTCCTTGGAGAATTTAAATCAATTTCTTTTTGTAAAAGAGCTACCAAAAATCTGTCCTGAACTGTAAGATAAAATATGCCATAAAGTTAAGACATTAATTAGAAAATCTTAATTGCTTTTATGAATAAAATATATTATAAACACCTTTTAAGAAAAACCTTTTTTTTTATGAATAATGAATTTTTACAATTGTTTTCACTTTTTAAAATTTTAATTAGAATAATTCATAAAGTTTTAAATCTTAAAATTCTGTAGAGATTAGATGATTTTTATCAAGCAAAAACTATATTTACTAGTAAATGGAAAAATTTAATACAATTCATCAATGCCCAATATTTTAAAAAGAATTTTGACTTTTTTTTGTGTATAAATGTGCTGATTCCAGTCAATTTAAATTTGTTTAATACAGCAAAGTATTTGCTTATTGGAAATCTTTATACCTGTTAGCTTCAAATTAAAACTAAAATAAAGCTTCAAAATTTTTTTCTTTTTTTTAATTCGTTTCTATCACAAATCTGGTAGGTACTTAAATTAAAGTTAAACCATTTCAAACTGAAACTTTTATGGATAAAAAAAATAAATAAAATAAAATAAAAATCCAACGTTAATTTTTCATTTAACTTTAGCCAAATGCTACATTTTGAATTTTGCAAATTCTTGGAGAAATAAGGTGGTCAGTTTTAAAGTCAACTGTTAATTATTTAGTTTCCCCAATTTCCATCACTGAGGTCTGCCTACCTCAACCAAAGTAGTAAATTTATCAGAGATTAGATACAGTTTTTAAATGTTGAATGTTTGTGTTAATTCTTTTTTTTTAACTTGATTTTGAATTTTATGCTTATTTACTCTTTTACATATTTGTTGTTTTTGTATGTTATTCCATGCATATTGTTCTCTACATTGCTATTAGCTATCAAACTGTTTAGTTGCTCTCACCCGGCACCACTGGCCATTTAAATTTGCTTCATTAAATTGTGTGTGTATAAACTATCAAACTTATTTCTTTAGCCCTCCATGCAATCCTGTTTAATTTAGTATATGCTTACCCACTGTTATTTATCAATGCTGAAAAACTGAGTGTTACCTCCACCCCAATTTTTTAGTTGATAGTAGACATTAGAACATAACATAAGTTATTACTTAATATGAATACTTTCCCGATTTTTTTTAATTGGAGTAGATAGGCTCACCTATCATCCGGTCTGCACTCCTTTCATATCTATCGAACAGGAGTAGAGGTTCATCCCTTGTTCCCTGGTCAGGATATGGCTTACCAGTTCCCTTGCTTTCTTCTAACAGGGCCACAATGATTTAACTGTCTTAACACTTTGGTGATCAGACTAACCAATGGTTGTGATTTTCCATTATGAGGGTACAAAGTTGGTAGTTTGCTGGCTGCTGTTTCTGACCAGTCGTTATGAACCTGAACTCTTTCATAGTGCTTAGACTGCTCCAATCAACAATCACATAATATTGGGGTACCTGTAGTGCAATGTCGCTCATGAATAGGTCTCCCTGCATGTATTTTCAGTAGACAACCCTGAGGCCACATTATGGTCTGCTCTCAGCTGCACATTGGCTGGTCCATATTGCTATTGACGGCAGATAGTGACAATTATGGTGTGTGTTTTCCTCTCTTCTCAAAACATATCTCATGGAAATCAAAACAAAAAGAAATAAAACTAAACAAGCTAACAAAAAAAAAACACCTACCCCACCCCTCAATCTGTCTTTCTCCAATATTCATGGTATCTATTTCAACTTCTGCAGCACAGAAGCTTTTCTCCTGGAAAAGTCACCAGATATCTTTTCTCTCTTTGAAAACAATTTGAATTCTTCCATTGCTACCAAAGAATTCTTGATTCCATGGTATCTTCCCTTTGCTAAAAAGATTCCAGCATTCACATGCATGGCCTTGGTGTTTACATCCAGGATAATCTTCCGATGACCAGGGAATTGTCTTTTGAAGCCACTGACTACTCATTCATGTGCTTGTTTTTTGCTACTAAACTGTCTGATTTTCCTTTATCACCCCCACTCTTCCTAAGACTTCAATATAGTTGACAGTATAAAAAAAGCACTTTCTCATCTATCTGCAAATAACTTTGTCCAGTGACTTTAATGCTCATTATGATACATGCCTGATACTATAACACACAGGGTTGATTCTGGTCTACAGCAAACAATTATGACCCTCCTTGCCAGTCAATTCTGGATTAATTCCTACACTGGTCAAAAATTTAAATGTAATGTCAATCATTATCTACTGTCCTCCTGATTGTTCTTTTCTCTTCCTTCTCATTACCAATGTTTCTGTTCCAGATTACTCCACACCCTGTAAATCTGCTGTATCTTAGTGGCTTTACTGACTTGTTTGGAGTGATGATACCAATTAAAAAAAAAAAATTCAAGATGCAATAATGTCAACATTTGCATAAAAAAATAAGCTAAACTGTGTGATAGGAGTTGAATTAAATTTTCTTTTTACTCAAAAATAAAAACACTGCTACAAGTCCTATGGACTTGTTCATGTTTTCATTACTGTAATCGGCAGTTACATTATCAAATTATTCACATTTCAATACAGAACATAGAACTTACATTATAGGTTTACCAAAAGAAGGAAAAAACATGTATTTTAAGAAAAAAAAATAAAATCACCTTTTTTGCAGAAATTGTCCAGGAATATGGGAGAAACAAGCAATGACAGTGGGACCAGTTTTACAAAATGGACAGACATGGAATCTTGTAATGTTTTTTTCAAAGACTTTGGGATTTCTTGAAAACCTGGAATGATTATTCCAACCTAAAAGAGGAAATAAATGTTCATCATTCTGTCAAGAAAATGCTCCCAATCCCCAAAATGAACAAAGACTGGTTAGGTCAAGGGGGAAAAAAAAAAGCAAAAGCACTTACCTTGAGTTGTGAAATATATTGCCATATTTCCACAACATATAATTGTCTGATAACATGAAAGGTAAATTTAATAATAAGAAGAGATAAATTTCTTCTCCTTTTATGCAACTTTGAGAATCACATGGTAACCCTGTAACTATAAAAGGTTATTACAGAAAATAACAAGTTTGTTAAGCATTTCAACAACCCAAGTTAAATACACAGGCAACTAGTTTTAGCTCGGAGGAATTTAAGCTCAAGACCCTCAAGCTCCCTTCAGAACCTTAGTGAGTACTTCAGAGATTCCCTTGTAGAGGACCATGTGTGTATTTATGTGTTGTTGTATTAGAAACACGTAACTCCTGATAGAATATTAAAAGGTCCAACTACAAGAAAATTGCCGGACTCAAGTTAAGTCCAACTGAAGATAAAGACGACAAATAAACAAGACCTATAAACAAATATATGTATTAAACAAAACAATTTTACAATGGACTTAGACAGTTAACATCTGTGTGTGAACATTTGTGTTTGTTCTTTAGTAAATGTTCATACGTATGGGTATGTTTGTAATGTTCATAGCGTCTTCCCAGAAATGGGAAACGCTGTCTTTTGTGAGAGCTCACATACTAGCGGTGTTTGCTGAAATGAAGAAAGAAGAGAAAGAGGCAAGAAGTTGCCCAGTATTTATAGTATAGGGAAAGAGACCCTTGGTGAAGTATTTGGGAATCAAGGAGGAGCTAAACTCCGACACCCTCTCAGTTCTCCTCCTCAGAAGAAGACAGAAGCTGTATTTTATTAACACAGATCTCAACCTCTGTCAGGTACTCTAGTATATTCTTCTGCTGAGCAGAAAATGACTTCATGGAGAGTTCCTCCTCCTAATGTGCAACTGCAACATAAGTATATGTGTCTTTTTAATTTTTCGGATGTAGGGGAAAAATCCTTCTCCGTTATCCTTCCCTGCTATCATCCATATCAACTTACGTCTGTGAGGTTATATTTCGCAAGATGCTCCCGATCCCCAACAGAGACTGGTCAGGTCGAAGAAAAAAAAAGCAATGGCACTTTATCAGTTGCCAAAATTATACTACCACTTTTCCACGACGTAACAGTCTGATAAAATGAGGGGAAAAAAAAGACAAATTTTCTCTCCTTTTATGCAACTTCGGGAATCATATGGTAACCATGTCACGTGATCACTGTAACTATAAACTTTAAAGGGTTAGTACAGAAGCTAACAAGCTTTTAAGTTTTGTTTAAGGACGCCCCAGTGGCCCGGGGTGGGGGCTATGTTTAAATATCCACAAGTAAGTACACTGCTCCTTTTTCCGCTTGACGAACAGTCAATTTCTCTACAGTTTAAGTAAGAAAATAAATTGCACAATGTTGAAAAATATTCACTCGAGAAGATTGAAAAGAGCTCGTAAATTTCCTTATTTCAACAATCTTAGTTGATTTACAAACAAGGACACACGTGGTTTTCGGTGTAGCAGTAATTTTTATTGTTGAGTAAACAAACATTGCTTGCAGGCGTGCAGCGGTTAAAGTAACAAACGGACGATAATGAATAAAAGCTTGGTACGAGTTCATATGATTTCAAACAAGTTACAAAAGTAAATAAATATTTTTTTTTAATTTTCTATGCCAACACCATGCTTTTTAAATTTAATTCCCCCTCGTGAGTAAGAAAAAAATTGTCTACTCAGTTAAGCAAATAGCATAAAAGAATACGTCAAAATATACTCACAGAAAAGTTAAAGTAATGTGAAAGAACTACTTTGTTGCATTTGTTATTCTTGTCAGCAAAATTAGAAATATCCACAATAAGCTTCCCGCTACGAAAACTGTTGGACATTGTCGCAGCCATACTTGAAAATACAAAGGGAGACAACTCTTGTTAATGAAGAAAAAAATAATTAGAATTGACTTGCTCTGATTGTTTAATGAATGTTGATCGTCTTTATGAACAAAACGATAAAGAAATAGGGGCTTTTTTGTGTTTATTTTGTTACCATCAATTTCAAATTCCAAGCAAAAGCAGCGAAGTTGAATGAAACCGTTAAATTTTTTTTGAAGCACATAATTTCTTTATAAAATTTCTAAAGCATTTAAACGCGGGAAAAAACTCGTTGACAATTTTGTAATTGTGAAAGTTGTGTACGAGAAGAGGTGCTGAAAAGTTCTTGGCCAGACACATTTCCCAAAATCTCAAACAATAATTTTATTTTTGGTGGGAAGAGCTTGATCATATCGAAAAGAGTTCAGCACCCAATGGTATGTCATAATGAATTATTCATTCATAGTAATTATTTGTACTTTGTTTTTGTTAATTTAAAATAAACTCTTCGAGAAAAATAGTTTCACAAAAAAACTCGGCTGAGGGTTATCGAATACGACATTCACTTAAAGCAAACCATAAGAAAAAAAACGAGATAAACACCAAAATATGTCAGGAAAGCAATTATGGTTTCATATTTATGAGGTTATTCAAGTGAATTATTTCCCCTAGTCTCTCGTAATGTTTCTATTTGATACTTTTCTAGAGCAAAATTTGGTTCTGAACAAAGCTTTGGTTCTGAAAATAAAAATATACTAAAAATTCGGTAATTTTATTTTTTCCCTCAAAAGTATGTTAATTTTATTCATCTAGAATGTGTTAAAAATCATTCCTTTAGTTTAAAAATCATTTCACAGAACTTAAAAATAAGTTTAGTGACGTTTTTCAAGATGGACTTGGGTGCTGTACAAAAATTAAACTGCTCTGAAATTAAAACCAGATTCTAAGGAAGCCAATTTTTAGACAAAAATGTCCAGTAGTATTCTATTCTGCTCTGAATATGGTTGAAAAACAACTGCAACGTCTTCAGCAAGATGTAATAGAGCCTATTAATTTACGTTATGTGGGCAAATGGAAATTCCGGATATGTGCTGATTATTACTCAACCAGTTTGAATGATTCTTTGGACACACATCAGTAACCACTTCCAGTACCAGAGGGTCTTTTCACACAACTGAATGGCGAAAATTTCTTTCCAATGCTTTTCTTCTACTGGAAATTGACAAGGAGTCCAAGGAGCTCCTTACTATCAACACCCAAAAAGGGTTTATTTAACTGTCTTAGCTCCAGTGTCGAACCAGCACTAGCTATTTCCCAATAGACAATGGATGCCATGCTGACTGGATTGACAGGAATTGCAGCATTCATTAATGACATTATCGTTGCAGGTGCAACTCAGTATGAACTTTTGCAACGTTTATTTTCTTTTTTCAGCCGAATTCACCAATACGGATTCAGTGTTAAAGTTAAAAGTGCAAATTTTTTTGAGAACAAATCAAATATTTTCAACACAAATGGTAGACAACTAAACCTGGAAAATATCTCAACAATAAAAAACATGCCAGCACCAACAAATGTAACAAAATTATGTTCTTTCTTTGACTTAGTTAGCCACTACAGTGCTTTTTTGCTCGAACTTCATAGAGTTTGTGCACCTCCTCAACAATCTTTTGAAAAGAGATGTTGCATGGGAGTGGTCTGATATGTATCAGGCAGCCTTCAAAAAGTTCTTACATTCTTCCAATCTTTTGCTGACACACTACATCCCATCCATGGATATTCTTGTAATGTAGTCTGTAGGGACATTATTATTATAAATAAATATAAAATAATAATAATAATGAAAATTATAAATGAAATAAAACAGTAACATAAAAAATTTGTATAAAATAAATTAAATAAAAAATAGAAATAATAAAAATTCTTCCAGCATGCAACAAGAACTTTTCCTGCCTGGAAATATGGAGATCCTGCTAAAACACATTAAGTCCAACCTCTTTGCCACAAATACTCGGACAGTCAACATATATCCAACTTCTCTCTGTAATATGGCGTGTAATAATATGAAGTAACTTCTTCGTTTCATTACATGTATCATGAAACATTTACAACCAAAAATACACATGCCAGTACACATAAAAATAAATTGTATGAAATTAACATACAATTTGCCATTCTTTCCAGTTATTTCTGTATGTTTTATTTCCTGTCAAGTATGTTTTTATCTCCATGAACATGACGATAATTTTTGTTGCTTTGATGTGAGTGACCCCACAAATCTCTGATGTTTCCAATTAAGGTATTGGAGCTGTCATTTCTCACATTATCCCTGATGGCAGTCAAAAGGCAATAGGTCATGCATCCAGATCATTGATACCTGCAGAGCGTAATTATAGCCAAATTGAAAAAAAAAGAATTAGCAAAAAGTTCCACAAAATGCTGTACAGACGTCATTTCACTCTGATCACAGATTACAACCTAACTTCTTGTTAGTCTTTTTGGATTTAAAAAAGGGATCCCAGTGTATACAGCAATCTGTCTGCAATGGTAGGCTACTATGCTGTTAGATTATAATTTTGCTATAAAATACAATTCAACGAATACAACAGTGCATTATCGAGACTCATGAGTACACAAAATAAAGTACCAGAAAACTCAGTCATCGCAGCATTATTTCTGAAGCCAAAAGTCACTTCAATGCTTGCGTCTGCAGTTACCAGTCACTTCTACAATGATCTGTGAAGCCACAGCTTCTAATCCAGTGTTACAAAAATCAATAATACCTTTGAACTGCCTCAACAAAGTTCCCAAGTAATGCCAATGGACAAACCTAGGACTACAGCATAAAGTGCATCAAGGAAATAACATTGACTACAAAGTAAGACACCCACTGCAATTAAATCCCTGACAAAAGTCAAACGGGCACAAGGCTAAAAAGGGGAAGTGTTAGGGAAAGCTAACTTACTCCCTTATAAAGGACGAGAACTTTAAATACAATCGAATTACTTCTCTTCTCTGCTAGTCAGGATGGGCACTTTTGATTTCAACATGGTATCAAGCTGACACAGACGGGGAATTCATGGTTTAAATCCAAACTAATCTCAGGCAGTAAATGAATAAAAGTTATTTTATGTGTTAAAATATACTTGTCTTTTATTTTCATTCATTTTTGTCCATCCCAACAACCTGGGATATAAAAATCCCCATCTTTGTTTTTCTCTTTCTATCTACCAATTTCTGCTATTCTCTGCCTATTTCTGATTTCACTTTTTAAGACAATATTTTTCTCCTTTTTTTTGCCATTTCTTGCTTTTCTCTTTTTTGAAAGTTTTCGCTCTTTCCTTTTTTCTACCTTTTTTCTACCTTTTTTCTACCTTTATCTGCACATTTTTTGCTATTTCACTTTTTTCCTAGCTTTTTCCTTCTTTTTTCTGTGTTTCTGATTTTCTTCAGTTGTTCTGCATTTTATCTTTTACATTTTCTTTTATCTTTTACATTTTCTTTTTTTTAATATTTCTAACTTGATGACTTTTACTTCTTTTCTGTTATAGACAAGCGTATGGTTGCAAGAAGGAAATACGACAACAGCAGGAATAGATTTACGTGATTTATTTCAATAGGAACGTGTGGGTTTGGGACAGCTACCTTGTGGTATAGTTCATAAGCCGACTGCCTATCTGGGTTGATTTCTCATAGTAGTTCTCACTGGTTGGCGTGGCGCTCCTCCTGCTGACTGCTGCTGACTGCCCAGTCTGACCGTGACCCTGGCCTTCTGTTGACTGCTCTTGTACTTCCCCGTGTGACCCCTTTTATGGCGTTTTTTATGGCTTAACAGGCTCGAAAAACGACGCGAGTATAATTAGTAGAGAAGCATTTTTATTGGTCGAGAAACAGGAACACTTTAAAATATTATTTTATTTTTCGACCGGAACTCGTGCGTAAACGACGATAATGGTCATTTTGTGACGGGGCCATGTCCCGTTCACACCCGGCTCTCGCTCTTGAGTATGTTAGTTTATTTGCCTGCAAATCAGCCGAGATATATCTTATTTTATTTTATAACATTTCCAATCCTGGAAGACTTTTAAGTATTTTATGATCATTATTCAGATAAATGAAATTGCTAATCACAAACACTATTCAGAACATCTATTTTTATGCAACACATACAAGTAGATTCAAAATGGAATTTAAATAATTAAATAAAAGTGGAATTGGTGAATTCTGGCTGAGGTTGGTGTGCTAGCTTTTGCATTAATAACGTATCATAATCTTCGTCCCCAGCCCCGCAACCTCCGGTGTCTTCCTCTTTGAGTTGAGGTGTCCACTTGGTCCGAACCGAACTTAGGTGTAACTGGCCGTACGCTCCCTGAGTACCCGTGGATTATTTCGACCGGTCAACTGGTCAAGTCCTGCTTGCTGCCCACGCTGTGTTAGTGTTGGGGCGCACCCACCTTCTTACTGATAATAGACTTATCCCTCTACGATATAAGTCAGTGCTAGAGAGAGTAGTTGTGTTGTGTGAAGGATCAGGTTCAGCGACAGCAGTCGAGATCAGGTTACCGTTGGACTGTAGACTTTTGCTATTGTTACTTACTAACCGGCGTTCCTTATTACTAATCACTCTGTTGTTAATTACCTCTTACAAATATACCATTATTTATCACTACAACTGTGTTTGTCTTTATTCGAATACACACACGCGGGGAACACTCCCAACAACTCAAGACTACACGACTTTCGCGTCAATCGTAAATAAGACATGTGACGATTTTCGCTTGTCCGAATTATCGGCGGACAATTTCAAGTGTCTAATATTCGTGCTAGGCTTAGTGTCTAAAAAAGATAGCGAAATGCGAAGACGCATTTTAGCAAAGCTAGAAAATAAGCAAAACATGACACTACAAAAGCTAACCGAGTACTGTCAGCAATGCGTAAGCATTAAGCAAGATTCAGAGAAAATAAAAGAAACTGCTATCGCAAATGTGAAGAAAGTAAATAGGAAGACTCGTTTTCGTTCTCCACCGCCT